CTGACAGTTTAACAACTCCCTTTCAACCTAAGCAAATCTTAATTGTCACCTACTTATTCCTTCACTTCCCTATTAATATACTATCCATAACACTAAAGGAGACATATGCTAGTTTGTCTTATTCTGAGATAATTTTACCTATATCTTTAAGTTGTTGAACTTAAAAACAGTATTAGTATTGTCAGTATATAGAATTCTGATTTAGAATATCTGTACCTGGGTTACAGAAGCTTAAATCTTCTTCCACTTCACACTGTCAATTTCCCCAGAGAGAGTAATAGTTGGTGAAAGAAGACAAGGTACCATTGAGACAAATAGTTCAAAATGAGAGAGAAGCAGCATAGGTTTAACAACCTATGTAACAGATCAGTGGTGGTATTCAAATTTTTTTACTACCAGTTCTATGGGCATGGCTTGGTGGGTGTGGCATGGCTTGGTGGGCATGGCTTGGTGGGCATGGCAGGGGAAGGGTACTGTAAAATCTCCATTTCCTCCCAATCACCTGGGACTCGGGGACAGAGAATAGATGGCCAGTCAGAAGTGGTATTTACCGGTTCTCCGAACTATTTCAAAATTTCTGCTACCGGTTCTCCGGAACTGGTCAGAACCTGCTGAATACCCCCTCTGATAAGGATGATGCCATATGTGACAAATTCCAGATTTATGGAACCCACAATAGTTTGCTTGTTTTTCATTTGTTTGTTTTTGCTTTGGAAATGCCTCATCTTTATTTGGTCTAAATTCACTGAGCTTATTTCTTACCATAGAAAATATGGGAACAGAATTTCCATATTCATGTGATTTCCTGAATCCCTGAATCCAGATGGATTCATTTGCTACTAGAACTATTCAGACATATTTTAATCAGAATAGAGCTAGAAGGGACCTTGAAGGTCTTCTAGTCCAATCCCCTGCTCAAGCATGAGACCCTATAACATTTCAGATAGGTGGCTGTTCAGTCTTTTCTTAAAAACCTCCAGTGATGAAGCTCCTACAATTTCTGAAGGCAAGCTGTTCCACTGGTTAATTGTCCTCACTGTTAGGAAATTTTTTCCTTAATTTCAGGTTACTTCTCTCTTTGATTAGTTTCCATCCATTGTTTCTTGTCTTGCCTTCTGGTGCTTTGCAAAATAAATTGACCCCTTCTTTGTGGCAGCTATCATTTCCCCCCCTACTCCTTCATTTCCCTAGACTGGCCATACCCAATTCCTGCAACCATTCTTCATATGTGCGAGGGGAACCTTTACCTTTAAACAAGTTCAGTGCAGATGGGGCTAGGCAAAAGAAAGAAACCAAAACAGCAATGGGAGACTGAACTTAATTTTTATTTCATGAACAAGTTGTATAACTACAGGCTTTCAGGCTGTGTGGGTAAAGGCATTCTTCATCTTGATCATTAAAGTCAATGTTTCATTTATGATTTTTCCAATTAGTCAGTGGTTTTCCAAATCACCTTTTAAGCTGATGTCTGAAGATGAGCCACTTCTTTCATGTTTTCAGTAAAAATGGAAAAAGCTTTCTGTTATAAACATGCTGCCGTGAAATATGCCTGTTTGTAGTGGTGCTGCTTCTTCAAAAATTTGTAAAGTAAAGCAGCTCTGAAAATTCATTTCTGATAAATTCATTATTGGTCCATTCACATTTTTGGTAGGTTGCAAAGAAACTTAAGTAATTTAACAAAATATGAAAAATCTCTTTTTTCCAGAATTATTATGATTAATAATATTTAAGATTAATCTGATGTTATCAGTATGCTATTGATTCATTTTAAATAATTAGAAAAGGTGGTAGGAAATAATTACTTTTAATTAGTCATAAATATTTATGAAGGTTATCTTAACAGACATACTTGGGTTTTTTTTTTCATTTTTTAATGAAATAACAGAGACAATAAGAATGAATTAAAGAGCCATCAAATGATTTACTAGGATATAAAAGACATGACACTGAATTATTAGTTGTATTTTAATATTTTTATTTTTTTAAAAAAACTTACAATCTGCTTTAGTAAATATGTGAATTCAGTTCTTAGAAACACTAACAATAGCAACAATAATAAATGTATTTAAAAAAAACCCACACCAGAGTCATGCGTATGAAATTTATTCCTCAGGTGATAAAATATTATTTAAATCGTTTTGCTAACAGAGTTATAGAACCATTTTCAAAGAATCTTACCTTAAGCTCTTTATATTATGATACTTTGCTGAATTATGGGAACTTTGTTCAAAGATAAGTCCCCAAAGCTACAATTAGGTGAATACTATTTTTCTTATGTACATATGCTCTACTTAGGAATAGACCCTTAAGTCTTATTTTCCAGCTACCAGAGGTTCCCAAAAGATTGAACAAATGTACATAGAAAACTAATTATGTTTATGAATAAAAAGTAGTATTTAAGCACTGTTTCCTTTTTTTTCTAATGTGGTGGATGCCACTGAACTTTTCTGCATCACCCTATCAATGGCAGAAGTCCTAAGCAATTAATATCTTGTGGTTCTTCTCAAGAATCATGTATTGGGAGGTTGTTTATGGAAGAATGAGTTTCTCCTATAAATACCAGTTCTTTCAACCTTCCCTTGAATTAGTGCAGTACTTTTCTTAACCACTTCAGCTTATTAACTAATTTACTAATATAGTTCCAAGCTCTTAATTAAATCTGTAAATAAAAATAGAAGTCATGATATTATGATCTTACTAGTCCATGTACTATGTGCTGCATCTTTTACATCTTTTCCCACATCGCAGCAATCCATAACTCAGCCTCCAGCTGACCAGCTACCCTATAGCTCTCACTTTGAGCCATTAAGCTACGTTATACATTCTGTGCTGAAACCTAACTCTTCATTTTCTGAAAACTGTCTTTTCCTGTGAAGCAACGTTTCTATTTTAATATATAGCTACACTCTTGGCAACTGCTTTGATGAGTTTCTGCCGTTTTCTTGGCAAGATTTCTGAAGTGGTTTGCAATTGCCTTTTTCTATGGCCGAGAGAGAGTGACTGATCCAAAGTCCCTGTTATTTAATACCTAAGGCAGGACTTGAGTCACACTGTCCTGCTTTCAAGCCCCAATGCCTTTAACTACACTACATTAACTGTTAATATGTGTTGGTATTACCTTATTATTTAAAATATTAACACTATTTGATGAAAGTACCTTTTCATGTATACAGTATTAGCAGTGGTGGGTTTCTACTAGTTCGCCCCAGTTTGAGCGAACCGGTAGTTGCGGTGGCGGAGGCTCTGCCCACCCACCTGCATGTCATCATGAACACTCTGTGCATGTGTAGAAGGTTCTGCGCATGTGCAGAAGCGCCCTGCATGAGCAAAGCGAGTACACACATGTGCGCTCACAGCTCTGAACAGTAGCGAAGGTAAGTGGAACCCACTACTAAATATTATCTCTTTTCGATTTTTTTCTGCTTTATACTTTTTTGTTCTTTGCGTAATATACCCCAAAGTGAATAGTATAATAGGTGGTGATGGAAGTACATTTTTGGAAATTTTTAGAATTAGCAGTTTGGAAGATCCCTTTTCAAAATTTTCCAGATTTGCTGGAACATACTTTGGAATTTTTCATCAACTCTACAATCCCCATGGCTGGTCATGGGGGGAGGGGGAAACACATAGGACTGCACTATGATATCTTTCCTTGGGATTTAATTCAAAGAGGAAAGCTAAGCAGGTTAAAAGAGATGTGGTTGAATGATGTATGTGCTTTTGTGTATCTTAAACATGTCTTGGCATCCTGTAATTGAAGGAACTCAACAAAATCTCATACCTCATTCACTCAACATTAGTTTATCATCTTTTATTTCGTTGTGATGGCAAAGCTGTTAAAAGCTGTTTTTCAGAAAACAATGCAATAAAAATAAAAATTTAAAAACTAATTAATACATAGAACCTTTTTGTCAGATAGATTTGGATAAAGTAGACTGATTCAATATTTGGTTTATAACAATTAAAGTTGTTATAAATCAATATGTTTAAATCTTCTTTATTGCTCAGTCTTCACTCTTTTTCCAGGACTCATAGTATTAGGGGTGTGTGTGTGTGTGTATTTGTGAATGTTTATAAACATCAGGTTGCACATATAATTTATACATTGAATTGGAATTTTTCTATTTTATAACACTCAATGAAATTAAAGTGATTTAATATAATCATAATGCATTCTGGTCAATAGACAGTAAAGACTTTTAATAATAATTTGAATGTATTTTTTTTTTAAATCATTTGATTATTTATATCTAACAAATTTCTGTTTCCCATCATCATACACAAATAACCTTATTTTTAGTCTCTCTCTCTCTCCCTACCTTCCTTTTTCTCTCTCTCACTCTTTCTCTGTTGTGTGTGTGTTTGCGCATGTGTGGCTGTGAACATTCTGAAATAGTTGTCTTTAACTGAGCTTCATAGAAAATTATTAAAAAATGTGGGAGAAATTTATTAATCAGAGTGAGATATGGGGGAAAACATGGAAAATGTCACCAAAAATAAGACATTTAACAGCACACTGATGTGTCAAGTTTCCAAACTTGCAAAGCTTTCAAGTTGCCATAATGATTATTACTAACAATGGACCTCTTGGGATTTTGTCCATAATGTATTCCGTTACATTGTATATCTGACAGGAGGAACATTATCAATGAGCTGCAGATTTCAGTAATAATAGCACAGATTCTAATGAATAGACAAAACTCTCCCTTTTGGCTTCACATTTTAATATAGCAACTGAATTTCATTGCTTACATTATGGTAGCAGATTATAAACATCTGCTCATTCACCACTATGGTACTAGCAAGAATAAGTCTAACTTATTTTCCTTCAGGCTATCCTGCTTCAAGGCTTGAATAAGAAGTCTACCATCCAGCTATTGAGGGTTGATCCAAGTCCAGGTTTATACTCAGGATCTATTTAAATCAAATCTCCTATTCTTTGCAAGGCTTCGTGCATTTGTTTTCTTTGCTTAACCACCCTTTCTTTTTTCTTCTTCTAGCTCCATCGCCTATTACAACAATCAGAAAGGACCGGACTTCTAGAAATAGCGTCTCTCTGTCTTGGCAAGAACCTGAACACCCGAATGGGATCATCTTGGATTATGAAGTCAAGTACTATGAAAAGGTGAGAAGACAACACCAAAGGGACAGGGAAAAGTCAAATCTAGTTTGAATAAAGATAAGTAAACATGAAAGTGAAATACAGTTTAAATGTGCTCATGGTCCATATAGTAGCTTTCCCACAGTGTGAGCAAAACATAGAATGACATTTGCATTGTAGTAGTGCTCATATTAAGGTATATCTGAAGTAAGCAGCTTTAATATTTTACCATAATATTTTAAAGGTTGTATTTTAATATAAATGAAGATGTTATCTTGGTTTAAGAATACAAGCATCTAATTTTTCTTTATGGTAAGGTTTCTTTAAGGTTTTCTTTATGAAGAACATAACATAAATAAGATTAGATCATGTATTTTATATTAATCAGGATTTTGTAAAATTTTTGTAAGTATGCAAGGCAAAAATACATCCAAAATATTCCGATGTCTTAGTTCTAGTTTTGCAGGAAAGCCAGTGACAAACAATGCTGACTTTTCCATATATCAGAAATTCCATTCCCTATTCTCACTTCCTGCTAGGAAGTAATTAACATTTGTAAAGGTCATCCTCTTGGTTTGAAATGTAAAAGTTTGAAATGAGTTCTAGGTAGAGTCACAAAATGAAAAATTTGGCAAGGACAAATTAAAATTTAAAATGTTATTGTCAGTTTTCTTATATAATGTAGGGATGTTTTCCTTTTCCTGCTATCCTCAACCATTTATAATGAACTATGTCTGGATTACATATGTGTGCTTTTTACATATAGACATAATGTATGTTATACTAGATGTATGAAGTATTAATACTTTAATAGTGTTACATTAGCTATTTGCAACTGTAATCAGTTGCATTAACCATCTTGCAAAATGTAGCAGTTATATTGCATTATATTTTATTTAACTTGCTTGACTGTCACAATCATAAAACTGGATTGGTCACCAGTTTTATGATGGCCTGTTTTATGATCATCACAATTTATGATTATAATGATTATAATGAGTGAGCTCTGTGACAGTCATAAATCAAGAACTACCTGTAAGTCAACTACCTGTAAGTACCTGTAATGCATATACACCTTATGACAAAAGAAAGTAACTTTTTTTTTATTTGATTTATATGCCACCCTCAGGGCGGCATATAATGTGTTAAGCAATAGTCTTCATACTTTTGTATATTTTATACAAAGTCAGCTTATTGCCCCCACAATCTGGGTCCTCATTTTACCTACCTTAGAAAGGATGGAAGGCTGAGTCAACCTTGAGCCTGGTGAGATTTGAACTTGCAGTAATTTCAGGCAGCTGATGTTAATAACAGTGCTTTAGTCTGCTGCGCCACCAGGACTCTTATATAGCATTACTTCAACTCTAAAAAAACCTGTTTACTCGGAATTCCATAATATTATGCCATGTTGGAGTTGTATGGATGGGAATCTATGAAGTGTAATATTCACTGTTTAGGCAGTAATATTGTATATGTTAAGCTGAGGTACATTTTTTTTTAATTTGATTTATATGCCGCCCTTCTCCAGAGACTCAGGGCGGCTTACAATGCGTTAAGCAATAGCCTTCATACTTTTGTATATTTATACAAAGTCAGCTTATTGGCCCCACAAACTGGGTCCTCATACATACATAGAGTTGCATCGTAGTCTTATAACTTTCATTAATGTCAGCTATAGCACTGAAATGTTAAAATGAATGACAGAAGCTGAATTATTCCTAGGTCCATATGTGCAGCAGTACTATTCAGAATATTTCCTCCTTTCAGTAGTAGGAGAAAAACTTACCATTTTAAGATGTTGAAACTTGGTCACGGACAATAAAATACACAGCATCTGCATACATATTACCCAGCACCTGAGTCCAGACAAATCATAAATGAGATAATCTCTGATCTACATAATTTCTAACATAAATGAAATTTTAGCAGTAATATCTAAGTATAATGAAAGAGGTATCCAAGTTACATTATTAGCTTATCTTAAAATGCAGTAACCAGACTAATTTAGTGCTAAAGCTGAGAGCCAAACTCAAATTACCAGGAACTCCTGCATGTTTTATTCATATCTCAGATTGGAAACAAGAAGCAAATTTGATCTGAGACAGTCTTCATTTCCTCTGCGCCACTCCTCTAAATGCACACCTATCCCACTAATGCTGTTGGTCCATAAGTTTCTTAATGTTTACCTTTTTATTAAAAGCCACGACACCAGTGATGTACTTATTTTCAAAAAGGGGCTCCATTTTTACAAAACATCAGACATGATTTCTTACAAATAGCATGTAAAAAGCATGAAGAAAAAAAAGGAGATATTTTTCTCCCAAGGTGTAAAACAGTAGAGATCAGATTTGAAATGGAAATATCTGGGACGATATTGTACATATTGTCAACTTTATTGTAGTTCTTCTTTTGAAGACAAAAAAAGGTTCTAGGATTGAAATCGAACTTCCTTCTCTAGGGTCTAATCATACAATGTATTTGAAGAGGTAAGATAAAAAAAGATTGATTGCGCTCTATTGAAAAATCTTAATACACCAAAACAATTCTCAGAAAAGGCATCTATGATTATATCAAACACAAAATCTCTTTAGCCATTCTGGTTACAGAAGATAAAATGTACAATGAATACAATTAACTTGCACTCAAAAATGCTGTTTGCACAGCTGGAATAATATGGAATGGGAACTGCTATGAAAATGAAATAAACTCATTCATTGTGGCAACCAGGTTTGACTACCTGGGTTTTAATGAGGCCCATTTCTTTTTCTAAAGCAGGAACAAGAGACAAGCTACACCATTCTGAGAGCAAAAACTATGAATGTTACTATTAATGGCCTTAAGCCAGATACCACTTATGTTTTCCAAATCAGAGCCCGAACTGCTGCAGGATATGGCACCAACAGCCGCAAATTTGAGTTTGAAACCAGTCCAGACTGTAAGTATTTGCAAAAAAAAAAAAAAAATGATTTTAAATGTTTTCCTGCACAACTTCAAAATTATATGGCTGACTAGTTTCATATTGTCCATAGTTCAGCAAATATTATTTTATATTTATGATCTGGCTTTCTGGATAACATTATATAAATTCTATATTTTGTCATTATTCTTAAAACGTGTTTTGAGAAATATATCATGAAATGCTGTACTTTCTCCTGTCACATCTTATTTATTTTTCCAGAATTCAATGAATCTTGCACTAGGTGGAACTGATGCTAGAGAGAAATATCAAGTATCTGCAGTGTCATAATCTGGTCTTGTTAAGTGAACTTGTGAAGTCTAAACTTCTGAACTCTTTCTTTCTTTCTTTCTAAGTATTTAAAAGCCACATCGTAGTACATTTGTTTCAGTAATTTTTCTGGTTTATTGCAGTGCTAGTGGGTTATATATAAAAAGATTTTTATTTCAGTCAGCTGGAAGTAGATTCCTGTATCCTTTTCTTTCCCAAAACTGTTCAATATTGTTTTCTCAAAGTAAAATCACATTTGGGAGAGAACCTTTCCATTTAGTTGAAGTTAATTAGTGAATTCATCAGTTTTTTCTAATTCCAGATTTTCAAGTGGCACTTATATATCTAACATATTCTTACTTATATTTTTCTTCTTTAATAATTTTACAGGCTCTGTCAAATAATAGTTTCCAGTCATAAATGAAAACATTATGGTAAAACTTAATGGTTAACTCCCTTTCCCATTTATTTATTTCCACAACTGTTAATCACAACCTAGATATTTATACTTTACATTAAAAATTACTTTGAATATTTATATTAATGTTTTTACCTATCATAACTTTCTTCCTTAAAAAAAACATATCCCAAATGTCTACATTTGGCCTACTCTGTAGTACAGTATATATGGGAGATGTTCTTGATTATATTTGGTTGGACTTATATTATGAAATTAATTATATTAATGTATTAATAAAATTATTAATTTTTCCATTCCTACATATACTACAATTTTCGTACTCCATTCGATAGTGTCAGCGAGGTTTTCCCTATTTAATGTGCCAATTTTTTCTCGTATCTGAGAGCATCTAAATAAATTGTCATGTTTTAGATTTATGTCCTTGAAACATGCTTTCTGCAAAAGGACAAAGAATCTGCCTTGAGTTTCATGACATTTTTTGAAGAGTGTTAATTCCTTTTATGTTGGAAATTCGAATCTGTTTTGGTTTCTTTTGTTTACAGTGTGGTGCCCAGAACTGGACACAGTATTCAAGAAGCAGTCTGACCAAAAAAAGCATCTATTCAGAATAAAAAAAATCTATTATATCCAAAAATTGAAAAATATTCTTCTGCTAATGCAATCTTTATGTTTTTATGTACCATATTTTTTGGAGTATAAGACTCACCGGAGTATAAGACACATCTTAGTTTTTAGGGAGGAAAATAAGAAAAAAGCTGATTGGTGGGTGGATTGGCCTTCCGGAATACCCCCAATCAGCTTTTTCCAGAGGTGAATTTTAGTAACAGGTTCTTTGGTTGTGAGCTCTGTGCCTTCCTTATTTTCTGCCTCTGAATCTTCTGAAACTGTTTCAAGAAAAAACTTTTTTCTGCCTTTGAAAGCTCCGAAACAAGCTTCAGAAAAAAAAGGCTTTTTTTCTGAAGCTTCTTTCAGAGGCTTTTATTCTGAAGGAGTATCTGTACTCTGTTCAATCTCCTTTCTTTGGTATTGATATGTAGATTAATCTCTTCCGATCTGTTGGTTATTGTGTCATTCTCCAGATTTGTTAACATAGTTTGGTTAGAATCTTTACTGATTCTTCTTTTGTTGCTTGCCATATTATTTTAGATAAAAGCCTTTCTGAAGCTTTTTTTCTGAAGCTTCTCAGAGACTTCTTTCAGCCTCTGAAATCTCCATTTGTGAGGCTGATCACCGGGGCTACATTCGGAGTATAAGACACACCCAGATTTTCACCCTCTTTTTGGGGGGGAAAGGTGCGTCTTATATTCTGAAAAATACGGTAACCATATCACACTACTGACTCACGTTTGAGTTTCAACTAATTGCTATTTCAAGCCATTCACATTTGAAATATTTATACTTTGAAGATTTGTATATTTTAAAAAAATTCTTCACGTTCTATAAAGTAGCTAGAGTTGCTCTTTTACTCAACGAATTATTTTTTTTCAGTGACTTTAGACTATGGAATAAATGGCAAAATATGCAGATATATTAAAATCTTTTTTAACTTAGTTGATGGGAGAACAAGGAGAAGAAATATATTCATACATTTTGTCATATGAAATAAAAATGTGTGAATAACTGTGAAAGTAATAGAATAAAGATGACAACAGCTTTGTGTTACATATAGAATATTTTTTTTATTCTAATATTAGTTGAGAACAGATTGCAATAAATTACTTTTCCATAATAAATTGAATTTGGATAACTGAATTTTTTTAAAAAAATTATAAAAGCTTGTGCTTGAAAATGTGAATATGATCCAGTCAAGATTAACATTATTAAATACCTTTTATATTTGATATTATTTCAGCATGATAATTCAAAAGATGACCAGCATACACACAGGTTTATTTATTTATTGTAGGAACTGAATTAACACAAAACTTCTTTGAGTTTTATAGATGAACTACATATTTTATTAAGGAGAAATGTCCTATAAATCCTTATTCTGTTTATATCACACCCAATTTGACCTTTAAAAAAACACATCTATGACATCTATTAATTTTAGCCTTAGTAAAAAAAATGTATAATTATCTTCATGCCTGATAGCCAAAGGTGTCCTTTTCATGAAAAGACGTCTTATTTCAGTTATAAAACACCACTTCTAAGAAAATATCTTCTCGCTATTACTATAAAATCATTCTGTTCTTGAAACCTGCTTCTTTTGTTAAAGGAAGAAAGTTTTTTTTTTAATCTGATCATTTTTTAAATTTACTAAACAATAGCACCTTCTTGCCTACATCATGCCTACATGAAAAAGTCATATTTGCTTTCTAACGCTGGTGTCTTGGAAGGAAATATTTCTTTTCTGTGGTGGAAATGGATAATATTCTGAAAGTAAAACAATACTTTTATGTTACTAGAGTTGCATTCCCTAGTCACTCTGTCCTTACTTTCAAGGAGAAAGGGGAAGTGGGCTCTATGGGAAAAAAGGGATTTGAATTCTTGCATGTTGAATTAAATGGTGTTTAAAAATGCCTTTTTCTGGTTCCTGTGTCCTAAAAGTTAGCCCAACTTAAATTTCAGCATAACAAGGTTGCCGAGCCAGGAAACTCTGTTGTACAAATGAACCTTGCATTTCTCAGCAGTATAGCAAATATTGCTTTTTTTAATCTTTCTTTTTTCTTGGCAATCATATAATTTATTTTAATATCTATAAAAGTTTTTCTAAAGGTAAAGAGGGAGAAAACGGGTAACAATTCTTTTGTAAGCTAAAAATGGCAATAACATTTTAAATTTCCTCCAGTTACCACCAGTGTTGCATTTACTGCATTTTGTTTCAATCCTTCTCATTTTTTTTTCTTTTTCTTTTTCACTTTTAGCTTTCTCCATCTCCAGTGAAAATAGCCAGGTTGTAATGATTGCTGTTTCAGCTGCTGTAGCAATTATTCTGCTCACAATTGTGGTTTACATTTTGATTGGGAGGTTAGTTCCTCATTCCTTTTACACATTGGATTTTATTTCTTAAAGCCTGCAGTAGAATGATAAGCACTGTCACCAAGATACTGTCAAGGATACTCAAGGATTTAATTTGGTATGCGTTTCAAGGCAAATTGATCTGATTCGTACTTCCTGGACTAATGTGCAAGTTTGGCTGTGGTTATCCTTTGGGTTTCATATTTCTTTGAATTTTGCTCTGCAGTTCTCACTTCAAAATTGATACCCAAAGCATGTAAAAATGTATTTTAAGATATTACAAATGTATACACATATATTGAAAAATATTTGAAATTTATACTTTAGTACATTCAAAATAGACATTTAAAGTATATTTTTTAAAGTTAATTACAGAAATATATAAAAGAGTTTTATGAATGTACATAATGAAAGATTGACACAATTAGAAATACAATGATCTAGTCTTTATAGCTATGTTCTGTGCCAAAAGTTATAGAGGAATAGATAACATGGCCTGTTAACTATAGCAGCTCTATTAAACTAGTTAAAAACAACTATTTATAGACAATTGTGCAGAAAACTAGATGAATGAAAAATCAATATGTTACTTCTTATACTCCCATAATTTTACCTCAGCTTTGTAGGGATCATAGACTATAAATGTTAAGATATTTAGAGAAAATATTTCCTCCTGAAGTTGTTCATGTGTATATTTGTGTTGCACATAAATTTACATACATAACTGTCTATAACATGTTACTTTTCTAATATTCTTATATGTTACTGCTTTTAGATTCTGCGGACATAATAAATCAAAACATGGCTCTGATGAGAAGAGGCTGTATTTTGGTAATGGCCATTGTAAGTTACAAAAGTTGTGCCAATTACTGACTTAATCAAATTCATATGTATTCTAAATTTACATTTTAGTAATCGTGTAGTGCAAAGTTTGGTAGCTATAGATATCTGGATATACAAACAAATTAAAGGACAAATTTTCTTTATATTCAAATTTGTCCCATTCTGCAATAGCATCATATTTCAGACTTGGAATCATCAATAAAATCATGTTCTTTACCAATATTTAAGCCCGTTGTAGCACACTTTAGATAAAATCATAGGAGATGATTACCTCTGCAATAATGAACATAAGAACAACCCTTAGTTTTAATGCTATTTGCCATTCTCTTTGCTATAGGTTAAATATAGGGATCAGTTCACTCTAGCACAGCAGTAGTTTACTATATACTTTGGGACATGAATGATAAGTGGTACCATTTATCAAAGTAGGCAAAGTATTTTTTTATTCTTCCTTGTGATAGTCAGTTTAACATATCCTATTCTTGTCTCAAAGGCAGAGGTGGTATTCAGCAGGTTCTGACCAGTTTTGGAGAACCAGTAGCAGAAATTTTGAGTTCTTCGGAAAACCGGTAAACACCACCTCTGACTGGCCCCGCCCCCATCTATTCTCTGCCTCCCGAGTCCCAGCTGATCAGGAGGAAATGGAGATTTTGCAGTAACCTTCCCCTGGAGTGGGGAGGGAAGGATATTTTATAGTATCCTTACTCTGCCATACGCACCAAGCCACACCCACAGAACCGGTAGTAAAAATTTTTGAATTCCACCATTGCTCTAATGTATTTTTTTCCCTGAGGAAGAAAAAGACCAGACGACTGCAAAGAAATATGGTGCTTCCAAATGTTCCCCATCCTGTCAGAACTAATCCTTCCATTACCCCCACCATTCTGCCAGAAGCTTCTTGGATGTGAAGCAAAACATCTTCTTCCTCTTCCTCAGGGGAAAAAAAAAACAATCCAGTTGTCTTTTGAAAAAGCACCTTTGAGACAACTATGACATGGACTAAGAAGCTCCACAGAGATATATCCAATTCTTTTTTTAATCAACTCTCAGAATTATTTTTCAGTGAAAACAAAATAGTTTTGTATGAAACCTTTGGTTTAGTAATATTTGTAATATCATGAGTTTTAGAATGAAGAAAAATATATTGCTTACAGAATAGTAAAATAATACCGGTACCTTCATTCACCATTACTCTCTGCTAACTTCTTAAACTATTTCTGACATTATTGAAAATTGAGCAGATTTGTTCAGTTGGCACTATGCAATGTTTATTAGTACTTCCAATAACAAATTATAATAATAATTATAATTATAATAATATATAATTTATATATATATATATAATATTATAATATTATAATAATTATAATAATAATTATATATATGAAATTTAATCTTGTAAAACAAACATTTTAGTAATTCCATCTTGTGAACAGTGTGAAAATACTATTACATTTTGAAACTCTGTTAATGGAAGGACTATATGTCTTTAGATGAACCTATACTTATTACTGTATGAAAAATCTTCTTTTAAACTGCTGATAGTAACTGATCCAAACAGATGTGCTATATAAAGCTAGGGGTGTGGGTGAAAAAGAGGGTATTTTTAGGTATGATTTGAAATTTCTTTTGCACACCTTTTGTCTTGAATTAGGATGAAAGTCATTTAAATCAGAATTAATGCTTGCAAAGAAATATGGTTGGTATTTCCTTCTAAGAGCAAATGGTTGGGAAAAAGGGACTATATAATTCTATCTATATAATTCTAATTTTTTTAACTTAAGGAACTTCTCATTTATCAATGCAACATATCTTCCCTATATTATACATTTTACTTGGTGCTCTTTTATTCCTAATCTAAAGTCACAAAAAGAAAATAGAAGTGCTTTAAATATGATTGTCTACAAGCAAAATTCATTTTATGTATTATAATTTATTTGTCATTCTAATAATTAAAGGCTAAACCCAAACACAACTGTTAAAGTGACTGAAACTTCAAATTGTTTATATCTGGAGTCTTTACAGTAACAGCATACTTTCTTTAATGAAGACATGTAAGCTATGCTTAAGTAAGATACTTAAGAGAGCACAATAATGAATAGCAATCTGGGCTTAAGCTACCCACTTAATAAAATGTACCTCACTTCACAACATCTTAATTATTCATATTCAATTAGATTTCAAAACTGATACTACATTTTAAAAGTCTTCATAACAAAATTCATACTGTACTGAAAAATCCCTCTTTTTTGCTGAAAAACAAATTATTTTGATAATAGTATTTTTATTTTGTTTTGCAATATTTTTCAAGTGTCTCTCTGTGTGTGTGTTCCTACATATACATAGCACAATTTATGATTTACTAACAAAGTTTGTTTCTTGCCAGGATGGAAAATTTGTTTCTAAAAAGATAAATTCTGGTGGTTTAATAATGTCTGGAAGCCAAACTGGAAAATATGTCCCATTAATGTTACATGAATCATCATGGCTAACTTTGGAGTATTAAGTGGTGATAGAAATGCACTCAGAAAAATACTCATAGGTGGTCGTCTTTCATTCTACTAAAATAAATTCCAGGGCAAACACTGACATTTGAAACAAGCTTCTGAATCAAGCATTGAGGAGTTCTGGTTTTATTTAAAACCTTTTTAAATCTTCTGCTTCCTTTTCATGACTTCATAACATTAAACATTTTGTCGTTAAAAACTTAACACTCCAAACAGTTTAACTGTGACATGTTTTATTAGAGTGCACATCATCCAAGTTTTATACAAATTTTTTTTTTGGAGTTCCTTGGCACGTGAAGTGCATGTAAATACAGCAAACAATATTCTTCTGGATTAATTGCAACAGTATAAAACAAAATCTGTCTGGAATAAATTTTTTCCACATTGGTCCATAAATTCCTGACTTACTCCAGTCTGATTCTGAATTGCTAGGGGGGGGGGGAGCCTCAGCCATTAACAGTTCCCAGTAGTCTGATTTCTTCTTTCACAATATCAAAATATAATTTTCTTCCTTAAATTCATCTGTTTGCCCTTCATAGGGCAAGCCTTTTTAACTTTTTCATTTCTCATGGGGCAATTCATCTGGTAAAATAGAACTGATGCTGCTCTCATAAATGCAGTGATAAAGTTCTGCAATTCAATATATGTGTATGTGTTTTATTTTCTGCTGCAAGACAGTCATATAGAACATAACACTTCTGAGCGCTGACAAAACTTTTTCCCCAAGTTTTGTAATTGTGGAAGGTTACTTTGTTTTAAGGAGCAGGAAGGATATGTAACAGAACCAGCATGGATGGCAGAGAACTCTTTTGTGACTTAAACCGTCTGTCAAATTGTCCACCTGGGTTTTAATTGTTGCTGTTTTTCAGAAAGTTTCCTTTAAGTGACTTCAGTCTTATAGAAAACAATGCATGTCATTTTAGGCAAAGCACTGTCTCTCTGTTCTGAATGGTTTCCTTAAATTGTATTGGAGGCAATTAGCATTAGAACAAAGGAAGTAAGCATTTGTAATGTGCTTAAAGTCTTACAGCAACTGGTTTATACATTAGACAAGCGCAGATAAAGAGTTCTGATGTGAATCAGATTGAAGAAATATTCAGTTCGGCAATCTGCTTGCCACACTCAGGTGTTTCCCTAAAGAGCTTCCATAATGTTCTATTTTCTATCAACCATCATTAGATTGCTAAGAGTCCTCTACAAATTCATCTAACACCTCTGGTAATTAAAATTACTTTTAATTTGGGTTACTAGCCATATATTGTGATGGTCATCATTGTATCTTTATGCAGGACATACCACATGTTTAATAATTTACCTCAACATGGCAAGCTGAAACTCTGTACAACTGTCTGCAATTGCCCATGTACTGTATGTAGATTTCTGTATAGAGTGATCATCGTTAAGTCTTGGAAGCCTTGCTATGTCTTGGGAGCCTAATAATATTTGAGCAGAAATTTTGCCTGGCTTGAATGTGTTGCCAATTCACTTCATTGGCTGACACTGAATTCCAATATTACCAGAAAAGAAATTTCAATTTCTCTGTTTAGTTCCTCTACTTCTATTATGACTCTTTTCAAAGCAGACAGTAGATGGGATGCAGAAGAATTGCAAAATATAAAAAAGTGCAATTCTTTATATTTAAACATTAAATAAAACAGAATGGTAAAGAATGATGTAGAAGAGGGTGAGAAGATTTTAAAATGATTGTTATTCCACTTCAAATTTGAGCACATATAAAAAGCAGGTGTCTAATTTTCAATGAATGGGTTTTCCAAAGTTCCAAAGCATTACCACAGAGATAGCACCCAACCTTTGAAGTCAATTACTATCAGGCCTAGCACAAGAATAACATCAAGCAACCCAGACAAAGTTCAGTACTTTATTTGCTTACATTGAGTAGGCAGAATCTTGTCAGACTAAACCTTTACTAATCCCATCCCAAGGGATATATCCTGGGAGATTCTAGGGCACAGGTGTCAAACTCGTCAATTTACTTTGCCATCATATGATGTTTCGTGATATTTTTCCCATTCAGATGCATCCAGACCATGGGCCGCCAGTTTGACATCCCTTCTCTAGGGAATGGCAATCCTAATTCTGTTCATCTGTATCCTATCCAGCTTTGGGCTGTGTTGTCTCTTTCTTGGCCCCTCCCTGAAATGCACACTGTCTTTCCTACTTTCATTGTAGCCCATCACACTATATCCCCTTCATAGGCACAATCCGTCACAATTACTACATTCTTTTTGAAACTATAAATAGAACATCCCAAAAACTGTAATATTTCTGGGCAGGACATAGGAGCAAGCCGTTAGCAAAGAAGGCCTAATAAGGCTGATCTAATTACAGGCTCAAGCACAGACTCAAGAACCCCAACCTTTCCAGCTTCGTGGACTGTTGGAAAGAGAAGGGATGGTTCCTCATGAGCGGCTGACAAGCATGCATGTGTGCAGCTGCATTTGCACACACCACTCATACTCATGCTCACCTGCCGTTTCCATGACTCAGTTGTTCATGGCCCACTTGTAGGCCGCTGCCTAGAGGTTGGGGACCCATGCTCCAGAATATACCTGTATATTGCAGGTTTTTATGTTTTTAATTCTTGAATGCCACCAAGAATTACCTGTGTGAAATGAGATGAAATCATATAAATTAATTGATTAAACAGATAATCTTTATTTTTAACTGAGGGAATGTCTTTCTTCCTTAATGGGGCAGCTAACACTACTAAACAAGGGAAAATATTTTGATAAATTTAGTGAGAAATACTGTTGATATTATGGTACCATCTAGCCCATAGTGCATGACTAAAGCTGTAATATAAAGAAAATGATCAAATTGTAGTCATTCACAATTGTTACTATTGAAATAAATTATTACTTGTCCTAAAAAGTGGTGTTCTATAAAAAGTACATTTTTTTCCAAAAGAATTTCTTTCAAGCATTTTGTGCATGTTCTCTTATGGAATCATTAAGTTTTTGTGTTTGTGATTATTTATCCATATATCTTGGATTGTTTTTTACACAGTGAAGCTTCCAGGACTCAGGACATATGTGGATCCACATACATATGAAGATCCCAATCTGGCTGTTCATGAATTTGCCAGAGAACTGGAGGCTTCCAGCATAGCTATTGATAAAGTTGTCGGGGCAGGTAAAAATATTAATAATAAGAATCACTAAGCGATATCGTTGCAATTGCTAATACAAACTTTTCAGATGTAGTCATTTTGTTCACTAAAATTTCTTGTATAACTAATCATTAAAGAATTTTGATCTTTCATTCTGTGTTTAGAACATCATCCAGACCAGGGACGGGTTCCATATCCCATTGCTACCGGTATGATTGGGTTTGGAAAACTCCAAAAGTTTTCAAATCAAAAGACGCTTATCCTTTCTAACAGTTGCAGTATTTATTTAACGAAAAATGCTATGCCATTTCATCTTAACATCTTTCATTTTGTTCTCAAGACTTTAAGATAAATTAAATTGTTTTTTTAACAACTACTTAACAATGGGCTCTTTTGGAAATGATAGTCAAATACTGTATGTGGTTTGCTGTATTTCTAATTAAAATGAAGACAGCTCTACCTCGTACTCTTTGCTTATAATGTGCAATTTGCAACAGGAATCCCATTCTTCCCCTCTAATCCATTCTGCTATTTAATATTAAAACACATGTACTTTTAACTTGTTTTATGGCTCAGATATTTTTAATATAACCCAATTAAAAGGGACACCATGAATATGCTAGGTCACGGGTGTCAAACTTGTGTTGTCACGGTGGCATCACATGAAGTATCGTGACTTTCCCCCCTTCGCTAAACCAGGCACGACGCATCCAGCCCATGCAGTGGTGAAATCCTCCATTGCCACCATTCGCTGCCCACACATGCACACTCTGTACCAAACACATGCTGTGTGTGCGCATGCACAGTGCACACCAAATGCATGCTACGTGCATGCACAAGCGCAGTGCACACCAAATGCACACTGCATGTACACACAGATGCACTGTGCACCTAATGCACGCGTGCATGTGCAGTGTGCGCCAAACACACACTTTGCGTTGAAAAAGGACGCTTAACAAGGTAAATAGAACAGTGACGGGGGAACAGCTGTGCCACACTATTTAGATTTGCTAGAAAGCAGGATTCCCTGCTTTCTAGTGAATTAAATCACACGGCACAGCTGATCGTTGGAAATACCGGTTCGGACCAACTGGTAGCTTTTTTTACTACCAGTTTGCCGAACCAGTAGCTTTTATCACTACCGGTTCACCTGAACCAGTGCGAACCAGTAGAATTTCACCACAGAGCCCATGGGTTGCAAATTTGACAGCTCTGTGCTAGGTAATTCTTGGTATATTTAAATGAACCTATAGGTCACACTCCTGCCACATCCTAATTTTTCCAGCTGGAGCATTCTTAGCACTTTTGTCAAGGACTTCTTCATTCAGCCCAGCTTTATAGCTTAAAAAAAAATTCTGCCTACTCAGAGGCAGGATTACAGAATTCAGCAAACCATATCCCAATTCTGAAGGGAGTAGCTGTGCAACTCTGCAATTTTGCACAAAAATGGGGAACAATTTTAATGAGAAGTCACTTTTCAACCAGCAGGTCTCTAGATAATCTGAAAGGGGGGGGGAAGCTTAACAGAAAAAAATGGGGAAATCTAAAGAACAAAGCAATGCAAAAAGAACTCACACACAATTCTGCATAAAATCAGTCTAACTAAACTGTGTAAATTGATGGCAGAGAGAATGGTTTAAGGGAAAGCATTTGATGTGAATGTCATGAGGCAGATCTGTCTCTGCTCTTCTCTAAGTTCTCTAAAAAGCAACATTCTCACAGTTGAGAATGAGAGATTCATGAAGGCTTCCTTGAATGAATGTTATTTCCTTCCTTACTGAGTTATCTAGCCTAGCATTGATAGATTATCCTGTTCTCACTAATGAAGGTTTCAGCACAAAAGATTTCAGCTCATGTAAGGCATTTGTCTTACTGGAGCAGGAAAAAGAATGTCAAGGAGAACTCTGCTGAACAAGGATTTGATTTAGAGCATACTTAACTGGGAAGAAAAAACAATTACATCTACTATTACCCCATGTTCAAATTGTTACCAAAATGGAAGTGGTTGAGGCAGGAAGTGCCTAAATTGATAGAAACATCCCAGATCTTCTGAGTAGATTGAAATAATGTAATATAGCACATGATTTATCTATAACCTTCTATTCCCATACAGTTCAGATTGAAACCAGACAAATCACTCTTATAAGAGCTTGTAATATGAACCAAATTTTAAAAATTTTAAAGAAAGTCATCTAGGGTTCTTGCTTGGACAGAAGGCTCATAGATCCTTATCTTCCCCTAAAACACAGGATGGGGAAAGTCAGACCTTTTTAATTTTTTATAGATCATAATAGCTCATTGGATCTATGACAGATACCTGAGACTAAGAGACTATGTTGAATAATATATTCATCTGATTGCAGATCATCAGTCACTTCCCATTTGCTTCCTTCCTTTCCTATCTTCAGAATGCCTATGGCTTAATAGAGTGTAAATGCATAAAGTCTCAGCAGGTGGCAGCATCTGGCTGACCTTTTTGATGCTCAGCAGATAAGCAAGGTTAGACCTGGTTCATATGAGTTAAACGATCTCTGGAGAATATCAGGCTGCAAATAATTTAACAAGAAGTCAGTGGCAAACATTTCTGCACTGTTGCCAAGAGTGCTGTCTGGTTATGTCATGTAATCACTAGAATTCAGGCATAATTTGGCAGCATGTTTGCCTTTTTATATCCATACTGCAAGATGTGAGTTCACATGCTGAATTCCCATATTTTGTTAATCGCATTGATCACATAATCTAAAATAAAACCTTAAATATGTATGCCATATTCTAATGAAGTACTTTAAACCAGAGAGCATTGTTCATAGAACAGTACTGAACTGAAGCTGCCTGAGACTGTTAACAACATTAAATTCTTAATAATGCTTGTGATAATGAAGTATTCATTTATTTATGTTTAGTGTGGTATAGATGAAATTGCATCAGAAGAAATGACATGATTGCAAGATTTAAAGTCAGGACTTTTTTTAAAATAACAGAAGTAAACAATGAATTACAAGTGAACCTAACATAGTTACTATTGCAGCCTGTAATTGAATATACTAATGGAATTATTTACCAAGTATTTACGAAAACCAAACACTGAGACTTGTCTTAAACATAAACAAAACAAAAATATGGAAGATACATGTTTATGGTACCTATGTATTTTTGTAACCAGAATCTATGATTTTCAGTAAACACCATCAAATTACACACTTAATGTGATAGGTAGAAGACCATTATTTAGGTACAGTTAAAACATTTTAATTATTACTTTTTAATAAATATAAATTATATTTAATCATTTTACTTACCCATTCTTCTCTCATAATCCTATCCATCTGTTGATACATCCTATATAGAGTTCAACATTTATGTAAGTGATCTAATAATTTATGCCACAGTTGTTATATAATCAAACAACCATGTTTGGACTTGTCTGATATATTCTGGAAAATATGAGAAAGGATTAGAAGAGACCAGTGATGGGATTCAAATAATTTAACAACCGGTTCTCTGCCCTAATTATTTCTTCCAACAACAGTTCACCAAACTGCTCAGAAAGTTAACAACCGGTTCTCCCGAAGTGGTGCGAACTGGTTTAATCCCACCACTGGAAGAGACCCACACATCCCATCCAAAGCCAACAGATGTTTGGTTAGAATATGATGTATTTAGTGCTAGGCTACTAGAATTAAAAAAGAAAGGTGTGAAATACTCTTATATGGGGTCAATATAATTTTCCATATTCAGACAACTTCCCAACCAAAAATAATAATAGAACTTAAATGCCTATAAGATTTCAGAAAGCTTTAAGCATGTACAAGGCTTCTGGAGAAAAAAAAGACTGGGCTTTATGAAAGATCAAGAAAAATAGCCTTGAACTGCATGTTTACTCATTAATATAATTTACTACATATCAGTATAAGGAGAACATCTTAAGGGAAAAGAAAGCTCACTTGTTAAACATCAAGCTTCAAAATGACTGTAATTTTTACTGTGCTATTTTGTATCATTAATAGCTAAATTTTTGCAGACTATAAATAAAAGGCCTCTGACTATAACACAGTGATAGGTATATAGTGGTAACAGTTTAGGTGCTAAAGGTGTTAAAACCTTAACATAAATAGCTATGAGAGTCTTAAAAATATAACACCAAGCTTGCACATAATTTGTTCCAAGTACTTGATTTTCTTTTTTTTTCCCCCTTCTTCTTCTTCTTTTTTGCTTAAACCTGTATAATATTGAGTTTCAATTTTCAATTCTCAATAAGTTCTTCTAAATTAATGGCATTTACTTAATGTTCATATTTTAATTTTGACCTTAGTAGACTATACAGGTAGACGTGATTTCATGTAAGGTCAGATACCGGTAAATTTTGTTCTTGTTATTGCTTTTATGGTTTCTTGAATGCATTATATTATCTCTTATATCTTCAGTTAAAAAAACAAGTCTTCCCATGACTCTTTAAACAAAATGATTTTTTAAAATTTGCCATCATGCACAAACATTTTTATATGCACACATCACAAAGTTTGTTTTATCAGATTACTTAACAGTTGCATTATGTTGTTGAACATCACTGTTCACTGACAAGAATTTTATAAAACTTTGCATGTTTAAGTCTTGCTTAAAATAGATGTTTGAAACATCTGTTCTTACTCTGCTGGAATGCTGCAACTAACCTCTAAGGTAGAGATTTGACATTACATTAGGTCCATAAAATATATATCTCAAGAAATAGAAATGTTTCAGGCGGATTCCAGAATTGGACATCTGGACTATGTGCAATATTCCAGAAGAGTAAAAAGCCACAGAGTATACAATGTAGACTGAAAGTGTACTTTCTGAACCAGTTAATCTGTCATGATCTCTAGCTAGAAATTCAATTTTTTTCTCTTTTCATTTACTGACAGGTGAGTTTGGAGAAGTATGTAGTGGCCGCCTAAAACTTCCTTCCAAAAAGGAAATATCAGTTGCAATAAAAACCCTGAAGGTTGGTTACACAGAAAAACAGAGAAGAGATTTCCTTGGCGAAGCAAGCATCATGGGACAATTTGATCATCCCAATATAATCCGGTTAGAAGGTGTGGTCACCAAAAGTAAGTTAACTGCTGAAATAAACAATATTTAGCAGAAAACATTTTGAAAGATCTGCTTGAAAGAAAAGTTGCTGAGGCCTATTTTCATTGGGTATCTGAATTTAAAGGAAAATATCCCCTCTTTTTTTCTTTTGATGGCTGGTAGTATGCATGGAAAGGGCAATTTGACTGCAGTTACAACCCAGCTCACAGTTTTAAAGTTGTTTGCAACCAGTGTTATTTCATTAAAAATATCTGAACTGATCAGCCAATTTGCATGTCACCAATATTCCCACATAATTTAGGTGTGTTTTGTTTTGCTTTTTAGATTTTTATCCCACTTTTTATTGCTTTGTAAACATACATATTACTCCTCTTGTCTTTGCCTCACAACAACTATGTGAGATTGGGGTAAGAGAAAGTGACTGGCCCAAAGTCACTAAGCCGGATTTGAAGCCTAAGGCTGGACTCAGTCTCTTGGTTTCTAACTCAGTGCTATTCCTTCCTGTACCTTACCCTCTGCTACTATCTGTTAAACTATCCCTAAGGCCTCTTTGCATAGGTTGCACCTTGGATCCTGTCAGGTATACTACTGATTCTATGGATCTGATGCCTAATGCCTGTTCTTGTGTTGCTATGATCAATGCCTCAGTGCTATCTTTTAATTCAGACATTCCAGTCACATTTCCACTGAAAATGGCTGTCATTTTCAGCTATCACTAGTTCATATATTCCATGCAGGGCCTTGTCTGTTATGGTACTATACTATACTATGGTACTTGTCTTGTTATGGTACTACCTCTGCTTGATCTTTCTCTCATGTCTCAGGCATTGTCTCAGCAGTTCATATTTGGGTGCTAATTTACTTATATATTTTTGGATTCTGTAAGTTTTGTATAGACAGGATTTTTACCACTCACCTGACCTTGCCTGCCCATTTTCTAGCCAGTTATGGTCTTTGGGTGATGGAGAGAACCATTAGCTTCTGTTAGCCATAGAATATTTGCTACATTTTCCTCTTCTTGTTTTTTTTTAAATATTTGCATTAGAGTGTCTTGTATCCATTTCCAAATTAGCAGCCCCTCTTTTATTTTTGATTTTTGTAACACTTAAGCTACAATGAAATCTGCAAAAAAGTCAGACTTTTAAAAAAATGCCATTATTGTCAGTGGAAACTTTTTCTAAAACCATGGCATATATGTTAGGTTTTAATTTTAATCTGGGCAGAGTCTCAACACTCAGAATTTTGCATACATTTTAAAACAGAAGGATAATATATGCTATGCCTTTACCATATCATGTAATTTAGCTAAAATGTTTGCAATTAGTTATGGGTAAAATAGACTATAATGCAATGCAGCATATAGTTTGAGCTATAAATATGTTGGCATTGTTCATAGAATGCTTATACTTAACTGCATCTCCTGAATACTACAATATCTGCTAGTATTATAAAATGAAAAATATTGTAATATCCAAAGAAGTACAACATTTTCAACATAGTAACTTAAATTTATACTGAAATACAATTTTAGAAAGTGAAGAACCCTGCTATGAATCCATTGTAGATTTTAAAATTATAATGTGCAGTGTACACCCTCCTGTGGTAACAAAGATGATAATGTTTTACAGTTGTCATTCAGTATTAGAAAGTACTGGGTTCTGCTTTGACATTGATTGCTCTTAAACAGTTGCAGGCATTCTGCCTAGACTTGGAAAATCATACTGCATATTACCTCACGGTGTCAGCATCTGGCAAATATTTGAAGAGCTATATTCAGGAAGCAAACAAAAAACTAATAATTGAACTTTGTAATACTTTAATTTCGTACTCAGCATTTATTTGAACAGCAGTAATAACTGAAAGCATAAATGTAGCAAACATGAATTTCCAACTGATAACGTGCCAAGTGTTGTTGATTAGTGTATTGATAAAATTACATTTCTTATTGGTAATATTGCCACAAAAATAATAATATTTTGGGAAAACAAACTGAATATTTAACATATTTAAAAGTTTAATTAAATTGCTAGAATTATATTAATGATATCCTTACATGGTGTTTACTAGAAACCCAAACAATAATTTTTTAAATCTTTAAAGCTCATCATTTTTTTGGAAATTCTCCATCAATTTACAAGAAGAAAATTTACTCTTGTTAATGGAGCTATTTGTTCCATTATGAGTCATTGAGACCTATTCTATTTCTTCCATTTCTCATATCCCTATGCTTATATCCACCTTAGCCTCAGGCCTCTCTTCTTCTCACCCACAACTAATATACATATTGTTATAAACTTTAGTTCAGTGTCTTTAGCACCATAACTATTTAGCTCTCTTTAGTAGTAATATAGTAATATAGAGCTTCTCCAGTTTATTGGTTCAGTACCTCTTCTCTAAATGACTTCTTTCTTTAAATGCATTATGGCAGGGGTCCCCAACCCCAAGCTTCAGCCCCTACCAGGCAGTGGCTTACTTAGAAATGGACCGCGTGAGTGACTGGTTGGAATGTGTGTGCACACAGGTCAACTTGTGCGAGCAGCAGGACAGTGGACCCTCATGCATGTGCACGCTGGCGTCCCTATCACACACATTGAGATGTGTGCATGCATGCTGGCATGCCACTTGCACAAGAGTTTTGGGCACATGTGCACTATTGGCCCGGCACTCACGGGGTCCAGTTTCCCTCTCTCCAATAGCTGGGCCATCAAGCCATAAACGTTGGGCACTGCTGGTGACACATTTTGCAGAGGCTCTTTGCTTGTGCATAGAACTTTTAGCTATAAGTACAAAAAGGGTCGTGATCTCAGATCTCAGACCATAAAACTTTGGGACATGTCTTTCAGAGTCTTTCCAAATTTGCCATTAAAATATTATTAAAAGAATAAGAAGACAAACTTTTTAGATATATGATGTAGGACCCTACTGAAATCCTCATCACATATTTCACTTAGTTTCAGCATATTTTCTTCCATCCTGTTTTGGGTGTACCAGTCTCTTCACTCCACACTCAACATTCTATAGTGAAAGGCCAAATGCAGGACTCACTATAAAAAAATAAAAAAATAAGTTGTAAATTCCTCAGATGTACTTTACAATACAACCAATCAGTGGGCAATGGTGAGTATTCTGTTCTTCCAGAAACTTGTTATTATATATAAGTAGTTCTTTTCTGTCAATTTTTTTTCTTGCTGCTTTGTCTCTCCGGTGTGTTTCCCAAGTTCTTATTTCTTAGTCTGTTGCAATATTTTCTCTCTTCCTTAAGAGGTTATTCTTATAGTCTCTCCCTAATTTAGCTTTCTTAACTCTTTGCACTTCTCAAATAAATTTCTAAACCATAGTTCCTTGCCTACTCACAAAACTTTTTTTTTTTTTGAGGGGGAGAAAATAACCTATTAGTGATTAATCTATTGTGTTAGCACTTATAGTCACAAGCATGCCATCATTGTAGATCAGCTTAATAAATATTAGGTACATTCTAAAGTTATTTGTTGTAGGCAAAAGTAAAAATGAAAATAAGAAAATACTCTATATTATTTTTGGCTTTCAAATTATTTTTGTGAAAAAATGTTTTGAATTATCACTAAGTTTTTAAAAGCCGGGTATATTTTTCTTTCTGTACTGATACATTATAATGAAAAATCTTCCAGTGCTTTTGACTTATATTTTACCGGTAATTATGTAATCCTTAAAGTTTGGCTAGAATTATTTCAAAGAAATAGAGGAAGTTTGCAGATTATCCATGGGTGTTCTTTTTGAAAGGAATGTGCCAACCATACCTTCCTATATGATACATATGATTAATTGGCATTGGGATTTTCTGTGGCAAGCCAAATTTTGATGGATAGCCTTTACAAATAAGCTATTCATGCTGATTGCACATTATGGGATAATTCTTAACAACTTTCATGGCTGTCATCTGTAGAAAACCCTTAATTGTAACATTGGCACATATATTGTTCAGCAGCTGTGTGGCTTACTGCTCACTAGAGATATGATAAGGTGCACAGGCTAAAGAAGAGTTCAGTCTGTTTTTCCAACACTGAATTATTCCCCTGTTTCATATTTGTTTCTATACTAGTCTCCTATGCTAGTCTCCAAGGTGCTTTACAGACAGCAGTTCTAATAGCCAACACACATGTTCTGGTTAGTTTAGTAATAATTTACAGCAGGTTTTAGTATAATAAAATTTAGGAGCACTGTTGAAACAAGTTGTTATCATGTAAATGGCTACATTTTGATAAATGAACATAGTATGTTTCTCTAAAAATAAGTTGGATTACCTTAGAACATGTGTTTCTGATTGCTTGTTCATTTCCAGCTTAAATATGTGAAAATCTGCTCAGATAGGATAAATATAAAGAAGGAAATGTGCATTTAATAATTTTAAATGCTTTTCATTATTTTATTAATTTATATTTTGGATATTCTTATTGCATTGTGGCATTGCATTTTACATGAATTTATCAAAAAGTACTATACTTCACTAAAAAAAAATCAATTGTATTTTAATTAGTCGTTTAAATCATTTATGAGTATTTTTAAGTTTTTTAATCATATTAAGACATGTGAAAGTTATTACATGTTCTTTGTTTCTCAAAAAAATATTCTTAATTTTGTCCAAAGAAAATTGAGATGGAATACAGCAATATGCGGTTGAAATTATTTTAAAACATGCACAATTTCCCAATTATGCTAAATTCTTTCCTGGCTGAGGTATAAAGCCTGTGTTTCTGTGATAAAATTAAAATTAATTAATTCAATTAATTAAAAAATAAAATGAATTAAAATTAAATTAGCGGTTTAACTTTATCAGTCCAGATACCTAGAGTCATTTTAAAAAATGTTTCCACTGAAAGAGCATCATACTGCAAAAGCAGTCCATAATTCTGGCACCTGTTTTCAGATGAAATGTAATTATTAATAAATTAAGTCAATACCATACTACACTCAGGTGTTTTTATGGACAATGAATTGAAAGTGGTGAATAAGAGAAACCTTATCCCAAATGGGCTAAAGCAGTTGCTAAGTGGAACATATGTATGTATGTTGGGAGGGAGGAAGTTGGTTCCCAGGCCATAATTTATGTCAGACTTGACTAGAAACATTCGAGTTATGGGTGGTTGTAAAGATTCATTGGAGCATAATCATGGCAGTGTTTCTTCACAAAAGGCCACATGAAAGAACTGTGTTCAGTTGTCATTAGGCAGTGAAAAGGCTGTTAGAATAGCGGATGCGAAATGCTATTCCTAAACTACTTAGCACTTGGGATAATTAAACATAGCACATTTGCCATTGGCTAATTAGTCATCGTGGAGCATCATGGCACTCTGCTATGGTAATCTTTTGTCCTTACATATCCAGAACCTTCGTCTTCTTTTGCCAACAATAGCAATAATGTCCTATATATTAGTATCTGAGGCACTAGAATTCATAGAATAGAGAGATGCTGATATTTCTTCTTCTGAATTGGAGCTCTGAGAATCAAATAAAGAAAAGGAAATTTAGGAAGAAATATTTGATATAAAACAACAGATTATACACCCTTTAAACAGTTCTGTTGTTTTAACGATTTGTAAATTTGTTTCTGCCCATTTTACATCAAATGCAAACGTATCTTTGTATGCAATCCCATGGTACATAGTTCTGTTAGTGAATAGTTTAGAGCAAGGGTCCTCAATGCCCAGGCTATTAGGAACCAGGCGGCACAGCTGGAGTTGAGCAGCAAGCAAGCGAATGGAAACGAAACCTGCGGTCCATGGAAAAATTGTCTTCCACAAAATTGGTCCCTGGTGCCATAAAGGTTGGGGACAATTGGTTTAGAGCTAATATTTGTATTATTTTATGCATTCTCATATAAACAGTACATGTGTATTTATGAACATTTTCTTAATATACCTGTTATATAGGAATAAAATTCAGAAAAATAGAAGCTTGAGTCCTTAAATTGTCATTAAGTTCATTCTGGATTGCATATAGGTTTAGATGGAAATTTCTACTTAATTACTATACCTAAAAACCTAGAAGGTTTATGCAATAATATTATTGTAGATATTACCATATTTCATCTGTTTAAATTTGATCATTTTTAATATTTTAATTATTTTATACTATATAATATATGTAAATAAACGATTGCTTCCAATAAATCTATTTATAATTATGGTTTTGCTTTACTTTTGAACTAATATTATAATTTAAAGTGATTTTTCAATTACTAAATAAAGAAAGGTAAAAAAAATAACCAGTAGCTAAATAAATGAATATTATATTTATAGGAGCCTTGGTAGTACAGTGGTTTAATGCACCCTGTTATTAACACAGCTGCCTGCAATTTCTGCAGGTTCGAATCTTACCAGGCTCAAGGTTGACTCAGCCTTCCATCCTTTCTAAGATAGGTTAAATGAGGACCCAGTTTGTGGGGCAATAAGCTGACTTTGTATAAATATACAAAAGTATGAAGGCTATTGCTTAACGCATTGTAAGCCGCCCTGAGTCTCCGGAGAAGGGCAGCATATAAATCAAATAAAAAAAAAAAATTTAAAAAAATATTTATCTGATAGCTAAATTATTACTGTAATAAAAGGTACTGGTAGCTTTTATTACTTACTGTAATAAAAGGTGGACTCTGTGTAGAGACCTCATCCTCATGTTAATATCATTTCTATAAATGTGACATAATAATAAATGTAGAGAAAATATATACAATTTATCAAAATATATAGAGATGGAATGTTGAACTTGTATACACAGGCCCACTATATTCAACTCTTGCAGCTAAAAGCAACCTTCAATTTTGGAATACTATGGAATATTTTAGCATGTTTTTGATATTTTGCAGAGTTTTTCATTTTGGCTTTTTTTTATACAGCCATGGTTATACAATTAATTGCTTTGTTTAATACACTTTTCAGGTAAACCGGTCATGATTGTTACTGAATATATGGAAAATGGTTCTTTAGATAGCTTTCTCAGGGTAAGTGACTTGTTCATATCATCCTATAATTATCTGAAATTATTATCTTAAAAATTATCTTCCCCTATCTTAAAGAGATAAATATCTAGATAAATGTAACCTCAATTATTTTGAAATGTTATTACTTTTTATGAAAAGAGTGATAAAAATCAAGCATCACTGTCAACAAAGCAAAAAAACAAGTCAAGATCTAAGTCTATTCTTTTATAAGCATTATTAGTTTTTGCATATATTAAGTCTTTGCATATATCAGAATGTGCACATAGTTTCTGTGAACTATCCCAACATGAAGCTCTATTTGCAACTACAGCTTTTAGAAGAATGGTAATTTACACCATCATTTTACACCAGACCATTGTATTTATTTCATGCAGTGGTTGCTCTAATATCAGAATCGCTAAGCATTTAAACTTAGATTTCATTTTAGATGAAATTCATATTGTTTGAAGATAGATAGATAGATAGATAGATGATAGATAGATAGATAGATAGATAGATAGATAGATAGATAGATAGATAGATAGATGAGAGAGAGAGAGAGAGAGAAAGAGAGAGAGAGATGTAGATAGATATGTATATCTGTGTGTGTGTGTGTGTGTGTGTGTGTGTGTGTGTGTATCTTATATATATCGAAATTATGACTCAAGTTTATATATATACCTTGAGTCATAATTTCCCTTTCAATTCTAGAATAAATTACACATACAAATATCTGGAAAGAATGGATGATCTGCATATTGGTTACATAGAACACTCTTAACCTAGTTACTTGAGAACATTTACACTATAGATTTACACAATATATTGTAGCCAGATGACTATGGTTTACTCAGCAGGTAAACTACAAAAAACAAATGAAATCTTATCAATATTAATGTTAACATATTTTGCAACTTCAGCTGCTATATCTATAATAGAACTGCTTAAGTTTGCTAACAGCTATCGGGTTTTGCCAAAAAAAATGAAGCTGTATTAGGCTTATAGATCATGTCAAAGATCATGTTTAGATATAATGCTTTATTTTGAATCCATAATATACATAATCTTAGTTTATCAAAGTTCTCATGTATTATTTTAATGTAGGAAATTAAAATGAAAAGTTTTCATCAATCAGAGACATTTGGTTTGGGTTAGTAAACATTATGTTTCGATTATGTGTGTGTAAGAGAGAGAGTTCAAGTGAATGAGAAAGAGAGAGAGAGAGAGAGAGAGAGAGAGAGAGAGAGAGAGAGAGAGATGTCTTATTTGGCAATACGTATTAAATTTATCTTTGCTTTAACTGGTACATTTCGGCACACTATTTTCAAAACCAAGCTATACTGACTTGTGAGGATTATTTCTGAATAGAAGCCTTATGTAAACTGAAGGGCTAAAAGGTTGTTTAAATTGTTTGCAGAAACATGATGCTCAATTCACAGTCATTCAGCTGGTGGGAATGCTTCGAGGAATTGCATCTGGCATGAAGTATCTGTCAGATATGGGTTACGTCCATCGTGACCTTGCTGCCCGCAACATACTCATCAACAGTAACTTAGTATGCAAAGTGTCTGATTTTGGCCTCTCCCGCATATTGGAAGATGATCCAGAAGCTGCCTATACAACAAGGGTGAGTTCTTATTGCAACAAAGCAGAGTTATCTCAGTCATGAATAATATGGAGAAACTGCAGATAAATCTTACTACGTACAGATACTTTGTGCATATGCAACCATTTTATTCTGACTGCAATTGTTCAGTATAGTGATAGCAAGAACATTGCCCTTTAATTGCTCTGTTGTGTTCAAACACAATGGTAAAGATTATATAAACCCTGAACTACTCTAAGGCTTTTTTTTTCAAATTGCATTCTTCTTTGAAGATCCTTAAACCAGAATGCATGATTCTTCCTACTCCTTCTGCTTTTAGTTTGTAATCCATGTAGCATCAAACAGCTTTTGAATTCTTGAGGAGATAAAGCCAACAGTCAGACCAACCAGTCCTCAAATGGTAATATGCATTAAGTCCTCTTAAGTTAATATATATATATATATACTGAAGTACAGTGTTAGAGGATTCCATTTTATGTCTTATTATTGCTAATTAGCTCTGTATTATTTGTTTCTATTCTCTTTAGTTCTACAGAAGGTAGTTTCTAGCCAGACATATAGTACATACGTGTGTTTCTTCAAAAATAAAACCGGATCTTATTTTCTTTTGGGCCCCAAAGTAAGCACTAGGGCTTATTTTGGGGGATATCTTATTTTGTTCCATGTACAGGAGGCTCACTTCTTCTGCTAGCTCATGGGAGGGGGCAGGAGGCCGTGTGGTATGCTGGTACTGCTGCCACGAGACAGGGGGGGTGGAGCTGCCTCACACACTCTGCAGCAGCTTACCTCAGGGCCCCTGCAGCCAGACCACCCATGCCCTGACATCTGCCTTGCCTTGCAGAGGCAGGTCCAGAAGCCCCATCCAGCAAGATCCTGCGTGGCCACTGACTCACTTCTTCTGCTTGCTCATGACCACAATGGCGTAGGAGGCCAAGCAACACACTGGTGCCATGATTACAAGGCATAGCAGGGGGTGGAGCTGCTCCACGCACTACACACTGGCTTACCTCTGAGCCCCTGCAGCCAAGGCCATCCATGCTCCGACACATGCCTCACCTTGCGGCCACAGCACTAATACCAGCACACCATCAGTCTTCTGCTCCATTGCGGCTGTGAGCAGAAGAAGTGGGCCTGCGGCCACGTGGCCTCCTGCTGCACATGGCTGTTGGTGCTGCCACCATGTGGCAGGTTTGGAGCATGGATGGGCTGGCTGAAGATGCCCTGAGTTAAGCCAGTGTGAGGTGCATGAGGCGGCTCCACACACCCCACCTTGTGTCCGCTGCATAGCAAGCAGTCAGATGGAATGGGCAGTCAGCCAGCTGTGCAAGCTCTTATATTATACCCACACGTAAAAAACATGGTAGGCTTATTTTGGGGATAGGTCTTCCTTTTGGGAAAACATGGTATGTGTTTGTCCTATATAACTATAACTTCAGATTATGAAATATACAGACCCTTTCATTAAGAGGAAATAGTCATATAGGAATATTGTGCCCGTCAAAGTAACATTATTTTTCACTTTTTCATACATACATGAACTAATCCTGATAAACTAGTGCAAGATGGGAAAATACGATTTAAGAAAATATTTTGTGTGGCATCTGGGGAGAACGGTAAGGTTTAAACTATGTTCTCTGGGTTATTAGCTTGTTCCGAGTCTAGATCAAATTTTAAACTGCCACAATGAAGCCAGCTTCTTGGCTTTGTCATTGGTAAAGACTGTTACATGGATTGTTGTATGAGCCCTCTAGAGTCATTTTATGAGATGGGTGGCCATATAAATCCTGTAAGTAAGTAAGTAAGTAAGTAAGTAAGTAAGTAAGTAAGTAAGTAAGTAAGTAAGTAAGTAAGTAAGTAAGTAAGTAACAAATAAATAATCAACAATGTTTTTATTGTGTTTAGATTTCTATTCAAAAGATAAGAGTGCACAGCTATATAAGTGTATATGGTGGTTTTGCCTTATAGGGAGGCAAGATTCCAATTCGTTGGACATCTCCAGAAGCTATTGCTTATCGCAAATTTACATCAGCCAGTGACGCATGGAGCTATGGTATTGTTCTTTGGGAAGTAATGTCCTATGGAGAGAGGCCCTATTGGGAGATGTCTAATCAAGATGTGAGTACATTGAATTATATAGACAATTATTATGCAAAAAAAATTATCAAAGTTTAAAAACCCTTTTGTTAGTAAAGACTTATTTTGTTAGGAGACTTTTTGCTTCTTTTTTTAAAAAAAGCTTTTTAAACAATTAGTGTTTTTACACAATAGAACAAGAAAAGGGATTCAAGTAAGTCATAAAATGGCAAACTGTTTTAAATTAAAATTTCAGTGATTAGAGTTCCTCATTAAATGTCTCCTGATTTATTTTAATTGAATTATTCCATGAGTGTTATAGATTAGATTAAATTGAACTTTATAAAGGAAAAGTAAATATTTGTGTATACGTTTTTAACAATTAGAACATGTTTTGAAGTACTACATATGTTATGTGAAGTGACTATTTGGTTTTCTTAGAACTGTTTCCTGTAAACAGTTTAAATAATTATATTTTGCTTTGCAGTTATACTTCTTTGGAATATAGTATTTCTCAATAAACATAAATGTCATTTTGTGCACTTGATTTACTTTGATTTACTTGACAGAACAAGGTCTTCTAATGTTATACATATATCACAAATAAAGTTGCTCTGGTCTTAAACATATAATTAAAAACTAATATAGTCATCTTCTTACTTAGCTTATAAATTCTGTCATAATTTTATTTTTTAGATTCTCATGTACCAAGTTCTTTTACTATTTTTTGAATTGACTTTATATTGTGTTCATGCACTGAGATGTACAACATTTCCCAACATAGCCAGTATTCTAAGAAATGAATGTTCTAATCATCTAATCATCTAAGGTGCTCATATCAATAAGCACCTTACAATTGTTCAGTATCAGCCATCATATAACAACTGTATGACTGTTAACACCAGTAATAACTAACTTTAAAATAAAGTTTGAACACACACAGACCTAATTAAATTGGTTTCTAATTATAACTGTGTTTGGGTCTGGAAACCTTTTAGCAGCTGCTGATATTTTTAATATAGTGATAAATGTATGTGTAACCTTGTATGTATACAGCTTAATGTCAACGTATCATTTTGTTCCATAACTGAATGTGTAGTACAATAATTAAATTATAAATATGATTAAATTATAAATATAATTATAAATCTATCTTATTTAGAAATAATTAATTTAATAATTGCTCCACCTATAAAAAGTTAGAAAATAGATGCACACACAATGTATTTAAAGCTTTCTGCTGCTTTTGGATCATTTTCTGAATAAGTTTGATTGATTGGAACCCAATAAACCAAAGCACTGCAATTCTCAAATCAAAGCATCATAGAAATGCTAATTATGAAAGTTTTAGCAATTTTATTAACCATGTGGTTCACAATATTTCAAGACTTAACCTAATAATATTTATGGGCTTTCACAAATCTGAAATTCTGAAATATCAACGGGCAAAATATACACATACATGCATACATGCATGCATGCATACATATATATGTAATACTATTAGCCAATAATGTATATTTAATAAGTCAAGTCCTGTCTTTTTGCCTGAACCAGAAATGTAAATTACATTAATGGTTTACATTTCCATATTTCTATATTAATAAAAGTAGTTTATATAGGATTCTTCCTGCATATGGAGTTTCTATGTATGTATTATTGGATCATATCCAAGGCAAGATTTTTCGATAAATGAAGATTCTGAAATATTTAAAGATTAAAAACAGGATTATTGTGTTTTTGGCTATGTTCTGTTTCAGTCATTGGCTAATCCAGTTAAAGATAGAAAACTGTCCTCCATTTGAAGCCCAAGAGATTTGTTGCTAGTCATTGTAAATAATGCTAAACTATGGACTGGTATCAAGCAATTTTCTAAGTTCATATGATCTCAAATAACAATTCCTATAAGACCATTGAAGGAGGTGGGGATGAATGTACAGCAGTGATCCAGATGTTTTCTCTTCGGAGTAATTAAGCTAGTACTGTAGGAAATGTATTAAATTGAGTCGTATTTGGTCTAATCAAATTTAAACATTGGACAAGATTGAGTGTCACTTTCTTCAAAGATATGTAATTATCCTCTGCTTTTTCCGTCATGTTTTGTATCTCTTATTGTCAAGTGGCTTATTTTGGAGATGAAAAAGAATAGGCATGATTCACAATAGTCAGGAATAAAATACATCTGTTTAATTACTAAGCCTCCACATTGGATTATGTAATGAATATCATTTTCAGAACCGAGGAAGGAGAAGTGAACTGAATGTCCTTCAGGTTCTACAAACTGTCTTCCTTGTGCGCAGGTAATTAAAGCAGTGGAGGAAGGATACCGTTTGCCACCACCCATGGACTGCCCAGCTGCCTTGTATCAGATGATGCTGGACTGTTGGCAAAAAGACAGAAACAACAGACCAAAGTTTGAACAGATTGTCAGCATCTTGGACAAGCTGATCCGTAATCCCAGCAGTTTAAAAATTATCACCAATGCAGCTGCAAGGTGACAAAATCTATACATTTATAACTAGCTATAACTTGAATATGTGGCAAAAGAAATGTTTGCTGTGAGATATTAGTTAGGGAGACAGAATACCCCAGTTCAGTAATGCATTCCAGGGCATTTTTTTAGGCTTGATTTAAAAGTAATATCAAAACAAGACTTTGCAACTGAGTGATCATGTTGAATTAGTATGGACACAACATCAGAAGAATTGATCCCAATTATCTCTTATTTCAAGACTGTTCTGTATGACTTGGAGTACATTTGTCTATTTCTCAGCATATAACTTGAAAGTATATCATAAATGCTAGTTGAATTTCAGGACCTGAATAGCCTAGGTATGTTGAGAATTTAAACAGCATGTGTATTGATATCTAAAATAAAACACAATTCACTACTGAGGCCAAATCCTTCTCAAAAAGGGAAATGTATTTATGTATTTGAAGAACAGTAATCAGTGATGACAAATCTTATAGGGCAGAGAATTCCACACTAAGTGTTTGCATATCAGAATAATTTTGCACAAATCCTTTGCTACTGTGAAAATACTTTTGAACTACTTTTTCTCAATAATTCCATATGCAGCATTAAATAATTTTAAGAGTCTTTCTAACTGTACCAATTGGTTTGATTTTCAGCATCAATGTTGGTTTTTTTTCCCCCTCAATATACCTAGCCTTTTTAGTTTTGAGTGCAGTGAAAAACCACAGAACAATCTTTCAAGTTTTGTTACTTTTTAAGTTATTATTCTATTACTAGAATAGAGTAATAACCATAATTTATTTGATTTTTTTAATAGTTCTAAATATCTTCAATTTTACATATAAAATTTTGGACTTTTTTTCAGAGCAAGTTCATTTTGAACACTTCCATTATTGCTTTCTATTTAAAACTTAATATTTTTTTAGATCCTGGTGCATTTCTTTATAATTATAAATATTAAGCCTGATTATAGAGCACCACTAATAAAATACAAAAAGCCAATGTATTTATTTTAAAAACTTGCATTCTTTTGAAGTGGGTATACAACTTGTATAATACATATCCTTATCCATTCCCAATCCTAAACTCCACATGTATCAATACTTTTTTACTGCAAACTTGTCAATAACTAATTGAAATGAGCAAGTAAAAAAAAGGACGGCGGTGTTTATTTGTTTTCATTATCCATTGCAAAAAAGGAAAAAGTACAATTATACTGCTCACTAAACTGCAGAGAAAAAAACAGAATAGAAATCCAGACAGGTCTGATAGCATCTCTCAGAAATAAGCTCCATATATTAAGGGACTACAGTAGTCCTAGTATTACTCTCCAGGAATCTTCAATTCCCAAGTCTAGGAGGATTTTGTACTATGGGATCCATTTCTTTTATTAATATTATTATAATATTAATAATTTACTATAGGATCAATTTCTTTTATTAATATTATGTATTAATATTAATATTAATTTACCATTATTAATCATTGGAAAAACCTTAATGTTGGAAAAGATTGAATGCAAAAGGAGAAAGGGATGGTAGAGGGTGAAATGATTATATAGTGTCATAGCCACAATGAACATGAATTTGTGCAAAGTCCAGGAGATAGCGGAGGACAGGGGGGGGCCTTGTCTGGTATGGTCCATGGGGTTGCAACGAGTCTTCTTTGTCTTCCGATTGAACAACAACCATTATTAAACCATCAAGTACCAAAGTATCATTACAATTTACAGTAAAAAAAAAACTCATAAAACTAAGAATATTTTAACTGTACATTAAACTTCTCAATTTTAAAAAAAATGTGCAAAGTGTTCTTTCAAGGATTTTTTAACAAAGAATTTCTGCTTCTCAACCCTATAGATAATGCATTTGTAAGAACAGCTCAATTTGATAGAATCACTATAATTATAAATGAACCTTTTCAAATTGTTGAAATTTGAATAGTTCCAGGCTGTTGTATGTTCCGCTGGTCAAACGTGGATAACTGGTTGACACAGTACAAGAAATATGCTGATTAACTGGAAAGAGTACAAAGACAGTGAGGGTCCTAGATCCTAAATCCTCTGAAAAATGTTGAAACAATCTCAGTAAAGCAGATAAGACCAGACATGATATCAGTCTTCCAATATTTAAGAGCTATCACAGGAAAGAGAATGTGGATTTATTCTCCGGATCACTTACACTCGAAGATGAATCAATTGATAGAAATTTTACAGTGGGAAGTCCAAATGTGATATCAGGAGAAATTTTCTGATTGTGAGAATTATTAAGCAGTAGAACACCCTTCTCCTAGAACCCTAAGTGTTCCATTACTGCAGGCCATTAAGCAAAGGTTGTATAATTAAGCACCATATGCCAGGAATGGTACAGGATTACTGTTGTGGGATAAGCATTGGATTGAAAACTTAAAAGGTCTATTCTAACCCTATGATTACCACAGAGAGCAAGGAAAGATATGTTATATAAATTATTCTCTGAGGTAATCAGAGGTGGTATTCAGCAGGTTCTGACCAGTTCTGGAGAACCGGTAGCAGAAATTTTGAGTAGTTTGGAGAACCAGTAAATACCACCTCTGACTGGCCCCGCCCCCATCTATTCTCTGCCTCCCAAGTCCCAGCTGATTGGGAGGGAATGGGAATTTTGCAGTAACCTTCCCCTGGACTGGGGTGGGAATGGAGATTTTACAGTATCCTTCCCCTGCCACGCCCACCAAGCCACACCTACCAAGCCACGCCCACAGAACCAGTAGTAAAAAAAGTTGAATTCCACCACTGGAAGTAATATGGGTCCAAGATAAGCAGGGCTTTAGATATGACCTTATGTGACATAGTTAGTAAACTACTGTGTTCATTAGCTGTAGCAAGATGCAGCCTATGAAGCATTTTTGCCAGGTGATCCAGTCTCCTTTTTATGAGGGAGAGGTGGAAATGTCTCTGAAGTGTGCTCTTTCAGCAAATACTATGGAGTGTATGTGAAGATTAGCATGATGAAAGAGCACTTTACTGTTGATTAACTATTCAGACCAGAAACATTCAAATCACAAGACATGACTCTTCTGTATATAGTACACAAAGTTGCAATTATATTTTAAGCCAAACAAAAGAAATGTAGGGATAAGAATCACTGCATAAAATTAGTGGGGGAAGCATAAGTATGTTCTGAAAAGAAAGATGCAACACTGAAAACTAATTGCAATATTACTCCAGATGATTAACATTTTGCAGCTCAAAATTAGCAATATTAGTCCCTGGCATTTGGAGCTATATGGTTTGCCCAGTAGGATGTATGAATCATCATTAACCTAGATCTAACCTTTCATTTCTCATCCAAGAATGCAATATTGAAAGAGATCATAAAATCCATTCATAGAAAAAAACAATTTCTTGCACAACTTTTTTTATTATTTTATCTTCCAGCTTTGAAAGTTACTGTTAAGTATTTCAGTTCAAAGCATAAATTCCTTACCTCCTCCCCAAAAACCCATTTTCTTAAAAAGTTGAAATAAGAATAAAAATTAAAAACAAGCAAAATGTGGAAAACCTAAAGAGCAATTAGTTAGTTATCCCTATTGATTTAAATAGATAAATCAAATTTACTTACAAAATAAACAAAAACCAGAAGAAATAAAATCCTGAAGCATCTTTTCTCTATAAGGGAAAGAGAAATTTACTCCAAGTTAATGGCTGCCTAAAGGAGCTCAAAGCTGGCTAGAGTAAGCTGCAGGTTGTTAAAAAGCAACAAAGTATGGTTAATTTTAATTGTATTTAACAAGCCAATTCACAGCATGGTTTCTAAAGGAACCTTGTATCAACAAAAGCTTCCAGTCTTCTCAAAGTTGTGTGGTATGGTTTTAAAAGGGGATTACATAAAATAATGGAAGATAGGGCTATCTGTTATGTCCTGTCTCAGCATGGGGGGTTGTTAAAGCACCTAATAATGTCATAAACACAGGTCACAATATATTGAAGACAACATAAAGCAGATTCTGAAGCGAGGCCAATATTTACACGCAGAGTTCACTTGAAGGTTGAAATATCTAATAGTGTCCATTATCCAAAGTTGAGGTCTAGGGTTAAGAGTCAGAACCACAACAGTCAGTAGAAATGACAACAAGGTTAAAGTCTGATGTATACATATGTCATTTTCAGTGATAGCTATTCCAAACTATGTATTTATAAAGCCAACTGTTAAGTGATTCACAAAAGTCGCATTCTCATTACAAGGTAATTACATTTCACTAAATGTTTTCTCATGAGGAGACCTATGCTGTAATCATTTATTAAATTATTGGGCTTAAAGCTGCATTTGCTTGTGTTCACTAGGATTTATATTTATAACTGAGTAGATAGATAGATAGATAGATAGATAGATAGATAGATAGATAGATAGATAGATAGATAGATAGAAAGATAAGAGAGATAGAGTGATGTAGGTGTAGATATATCCAAGTCTGAAATAATACTTCCAAATAAATGTAATAATTAAGGATCTTTTTTGTATGTCGTCTGCCATCTGTTAATTAGAAGGATTTGTCTCCAAAAACTAAACAGAATTATAATGGGCTCTAAGTGTAACCTTGAAGAATATGAGGAAAAGACAATGGTCAGATAAAACAAATCTGAATCCAAAGCAAGAATGGAATTTTAGAAAATATCTTAGACTTTACTATCCTTAATTGTCTCTAGAATAAAGGCAGGGAATGGGGACGATATTCAGAGTTGCAATATTCTGTTAACTGTAATGCTATAAAGAAAATAATTTTAGTATTCATAATTTTAGTATTCAAATCTGGTCTACTTTAAGGACTGACAAGAACAGTATCAAAGACAGTGTAGTGGCAAAATAATGATCAGATTTTAAAATGGATATAATTTAGGGTTAGAAACTAGAAACCAGGAGACCAGATTAGAAACCAAGAGTTCTACTCCTCCTTAGGCATGAAAGTCAGATTGGTGACTTTGGATAAGTCACTCACTCTCAGCCCATGATGTCAGATTTGGGCAATTAACTGGTTGGTCA